TGGCCCAAAGAGAGACTCAGCTCTTACTGCTTGAGTGACCACTTCACTTAACGACCGAGTTGCCAGTCCCAGTTGTGGTTGCTAGACAAGGAGTATTTGTACCAGAAACCACATTTTCCACTTCTGACAGAAAAAGCAATGATTTGGCACTCTTTTACTATCTTACCCAATATAAGTAACGATTTTGGGATCTTTTAAAGTAACTTTCCATTGTGCAGTATTATTGTGTCTGAGATACTAGTATGTCATGGAATAAAGCATACACTTTAATTGATCAGTTTCTTTACTTCTGATTTCTCTTTCACCTCAGGCTGGCAAGCATCAAGAATATGAACAGAAGTTACTCCAAGAGCTATACAAATTAAACCCCAACTTTCTCCAGCTATCCACAAATGTAGTTGACAAGAACAAGAACAAAGTGACTTCTCTACAGAGGTACGATGTGTAAGTATAGGTTCTGTACCAGAGCTTGCTTATTTTCCATTAAAGCACCTTTTATTTTCTCCAGGACCACAGTTTTACCACATGACTGCTAAAGCCAATATAGATGGCAAATTATTCTCTTTCTGTTACTTCTCTTTTTTATATAGGTGTATGGAATATTTTCAAATACATGTGCATGTATTTATTAAATTGAAAATTGCTTTTAACAGAAAATTGCCTTTCTGTCAGGTATATATGTATTATGTCACAGTGCATGGCCATGCTGATAGGTTTTTGGGGTACAATTTGAATTCATTTAAGTTTCAACTGATGTTCTGATTAAATGTTTTATAATTATTATTATGAAGTAGGCCTGGTCTTTAATTTGGTAATGCAAACTGAACAGATTGGTCAGACTTAGAAAAAGGTGACACTTCCATAAAGGACTCACTTGAAAGATAAAATTAATCTTCATGTAAATATTTTGACTTTTAGTACCTTGTTTGAATTGTGCTCATGTGTACTTGGGTTACAGTACATTGGTGATTTTTTAGAATGTAGTACTTGACAGGAAGTACATTCAAGTGTTCATTATCTGAAGTTTTCATCACGTACACTTATGGATAATTCCCCAGCCAAAGTCATTTTAATAATGTCAACTGTTACTGGCACTTCTTTGGTGTCAATCCTAGTCAAAGTGTCTTCTCTACATGCACATGTACGTTCAGATGACATCAGAATGCCTTCAAAGTGATTGTACTGAAACTTTAAGTAGATGGAATACTTCAGGAAGCAGGTTCAGAGTAGTGTTTTGGTTGTTTTGCAAAACACCCTTCAAGTGGTTTGTACAGTCCAGCTATTTAACAGTTTGTGGGTATGTTATTTTTTAGGATAGTTTTCTCAAGTTGAAAGTTTCATTGATTATCTTAACTTGTATGGTAAGCTGTTACTATTTAGAAATTTAAGTAACCTTATGCTTAGAAGGTACTGTGTTAAACATTTATCAAGTATGTTTTTTAATTAATAATCTAAGAGAAAGCAAAATAATAGAATAATAATTGGATAGAGTTTGGTGCAATAAATATCAATAGCTGGTGATTAGAGCAAATGGATGGTGATGAAGAATAAGCTCTTTTTTAAAGGTTTAATAAAGATAATTTTCAAATAAACTTTCAGATAACAGGGTCTTATATTTTTGTATGATTTTGTCCAGTGCTGTCTTAGTGGATCATCTTGGAAAATAAAGAGACTTGCATTTAGGAAAGTTGATGAGTTATTTGTAAAGATAAAAATGTATTAGCAGAATTTGTAATAAATACAGTATAGACTTTTCTTCTTAATCCAAGTGATTGATTTCAAGTGATTGATTTCAAGTGAACAGGACAATCAGCATGATCTTTTTTATTTGATTATCTCATTTGGATCATGATCCATCTTGTTATACTCTATTTAATATCTGTCCCAAGAGAAAAAATATACCAGAGGAAGCATCATGTGAGATTCAAATTAAATTTTCTTACAGAATGAGTTGCATTATGAGAAAAGGAGAAATAACAGCATTGGGTTAAATGACAACAAATTCTGATATGGCCTGTCTCAATAAAGGAGGAATCTAAAGCTTCATAATCATTCTTGCAAAAAGATTCTGTGTGGATTCTGTGTGGATTTGATTAACATCAAACTGAGCATTTGTGATATGTTTATCTGGCCCAAAGAGAGACTCAGCTCTTACTGCTTGTAGATTGCCTAAATTTTCTATGCTACCCCAGTATTTAAGTCTTCATTATCATACTTTAACTTTCATGCTGTTTGCTTTCTTTTAATCAGAATAAAGAAATCCTAGATTCTTGTAATCTGTTCTTAGTAGCAAATTATAAAAAGAAACGATGACTTTAGTTCTTAAGCTTATTATTTATCTTTGTTCCTAAAGGAAGTGGCATTAAGTGGCAAGCAGAGATGGTTCTCTTCTCAAAATACCAATGCAACTTGTCCCAAGTAATATTTCATTAAGATTTTGTGATATATGTTTATATATTGTGGAAAGGTCACTACAGAAATTGCCTTCTTCCATAGGAAATATTGAATTCCTACTTTCTGTTTATGGTACTTTTAGGAAATGCATTTTATTGACTTTGCAGAAGTAACAGTTGTGAATACATTCATCAGTTACTAGTCTTAAAATTTAAAAGCAGATTTTTAGCTATCAGTTTATGCTGTATGCTGTGGACTTTTGAGCAGAGACTCGGATAACTGATAATAATTTAGAAGATTGTTGTTCTCTACTTGAAAAGTGGAACTGAAGCAATTGTGCCATTTTTACCCTCTTCCATTGCTTGAGGGAATGAAGGAGCTAATGCAGAAATATCATGAATAGGCCCCAAAAATGGAAAACTGTGAAAAAATTTTTTTGTTATATTAATGGCTTATATAGTTTTAAGATACATATTTACATATTCATTTCTTCCAAATCCATTTTGAGAACTCAGAACTTTCTTACATTGCAAAAAATTAATGCTGGAGCATACATTTGGGCACACACACATATATAACATGCAATATAAAGTTCTAAAATATTTCATTTTTCATATAGATAGCATTTTCTAAAAATAACAAGGAAAAACTACTGGATCAGCAAACAGAAGAAACCAGCTATAACCATGTTTCTTTTAATGTTAACAGATGTTCATGTGTTCCTATGGAAATCATCTAAATATCTAAAGATGACTTTATAAGTTTTATTCAAACTGTTAATTCATTTTCCATTCCAAAGGAACCTAATTCATTTAGATGTGCTTATACTGGTAGAAGTGTTGAGATTAAAAGATTGAAACAGAGAGAGATTGAGGTAAGATAGGCGTGCTCATTTTTACAATAAGTAATAGGTTTTAGAAGTATACAGCCAGCACAGGAAAATTCATAATGAGAATGTAGGCATACAGTTTATCAATTGGAAGATGGGATCACCATATTCATAAAGTAATAAAAAACAGAGACAGTGTGAAGGCTTTGAGGATTCTCTATTTTGATGGTCAGACTGCCTTGACCTTTATAGATCCACAAATATAAATGTAACTACTTTACCTGATGCAACCCTTCCCCTCTTTTACTTCTGTAGTGTTACATGCAGACACTACACTTTGAGTTAACGATTTCCCTATTCCTCAGCACCATTTCAGGCATGAGGAATAATTTCCTCAATGTTTCAGTTTTAAGATTTTCTCTATAACTTGAACTCTCTTTTACTTTCACCTCTTTCCAGACCCAACAGTAATAACAAAGATGCCTGGCCATCATTACAGAGTTCAAGTAAATCAGTCAACGGCTTAACAATGGAACACAGGAAAACGCCTCCTATTTTAGAAAATGGCACAGACCCAGAACACATGACTCCAGATGGTCCAGATTCAGATTTCGGGTAATTGTGCTGCCTTTTATACTTCAGTTAGTTTTCTTTCTCTCTCACTGTTGTGGAGGGATGATTTTTTTCAGCCTCTGTCTGGAGAGCTGGATTCAAATGCTGATAAACTTACAAATAAAAATGGTTGCCCCAGCTCAGTAGGTGATTCTTAATCCTAATGTGGGTGAAAAAACTGTTCATTATTCAATGAGCAGCTTTTCAATAGATGCCTGAATAAAGGTAAGGGTTGCAAATAAGATAAAACATTTTTAAACAATGTTTTGGGTTGGCATTCTAGAAAAGGATATATCACAGTTCAACAAAAAACTTGTGTTGCACTGTAAGAACTCTGATTTCTGGTGACCTTTAGTTGACTGGTTTAAATATTTTGAACCAAATGTAAAAATAAAAATATTCGCTTAGCTTATATTGGTACTGCACAAGTATGGCACTGTACTGAGTTGCATTAGCTTTTCCCTTTCCTAAAAGTTTTTGGATTTCTATTTAATATTATAAGAAATCTCTTGCATCATGAATATTTTGTAGGGTTTTTTTTATAACTTGGCTTAAGAGTGCATATACTATAGCACTTTGATGTAGCTCAATTTGTGTGCTTCATGTTGCAGTAGTACTAGTGTGATAAGTAAACAAATCATATGAAGGTGTCATAGTATTGAATTGGCTCAAGTAATTTAGTAGGAAAAGAAGAACAGAGTAAGTGCCTTCTATCTCAGTATTTACTCTTCCACTGAATGAATACATCACATCTAATGATATTTGAACACTTCAGGATGTACCATTCTTTGTCTTATGTCCCTTTACCCAAGTTTAATGTAGTCTTGCTCAGAAGCAAGTAGTCTGTTTCAGATTGTTTTCATTGTAAATGAATAGGTGACTACTTAAATAGTGTAGTATTGCTCTATGACTTTTAATTGTATTTCAGTTATGAGCATAGGAAATGTGCATTGAAAATATTCTGAACATCTGCTATTTCAGTTAACCAGGAACCCAAGGGCCATGCGCAAAATGAGGCTTTTCCTTCTACCTATCCTCCTATAGTATTATCTAGGTCATGGAAAGTCAGCCTAATGAAAGAAAAATGACCATTTTCCTCTGTTTGCTTTTGGTTTGAGAAAGAAAAAATATTTTGATTCATATTCAGCATTTCATCTAAATCAGGGATGTAAAGTTCCAGATGTCAAGATCTGACCTAAGGTTTCAGTGTGACCCTCAGGGCCCTTCCGAATGTCAGTAAAAATTCTCATGTTTATGGGACAGAAGGGAGAAATTATTAAATATTGGGAGAAACCATATTAAATCCCCCAAAGTTGCATAGCTCAGCTCTAATTGGATCCAGGAACACATCTTGATATTCAGACATATACTTTCACTAGCATGATAGATTAAAGTTTGTATTTGTAAGGAAAACTTGAATATTTAGGCAGCTATTTATGAAGCCAACTGTTTTCATCATTGCATAACCGAATGACTACAGGATTTCTGAGAAAGAGATTAAAGACTTCAATATTTTGTTTGAAAAATAGGTTTGAATTGATTAGGAACATTAAATCCTGAGTATCTGAAAAATACAATCTGTTCCAATTTTGGTTAGTAAACTTCTTTTAAAAGTGTTAAATAGTAGTTGGAAATACAATATGCGCTTTGTTCATATATTTTCCAGTTCACTCCTTAATATTAAATAAATTTTAAAATTTTTACCTTTTGTCTTTCTTTTTGTCAGTTAAGTTTGGAAGAATGAAGTTCTAATCAAAGCCATTAAATTTAGGCAACAGTTGAAGTGTAATTGCTCTTTTATTTTAAATAAATGCACTTGTAAATAAGCATACTATTGATTCTGTATGGACTTTGTACTGGATTTTGCTGCCCTAACTAGATTCAGATGAGAACATAGGCTTGGATATATAGACTTACAGCTTTAGTGCACTTTTGAAATATAAACTGTCATAGATTAAAATTAGACATTATTGCAGGAATAGTTTTGGAATTTATTTTATATCTCTGGGGAGCTACCTAGATTCAGTGCCTTATCTTAATATTTTCACTTTAAAAGCAGAAAAGGATTCTTTTTGTTTTCAGAAACTGTAATCCTCAGTTACAGACACAAAATCATCTAACAGTTTATAATTCTTAGATTAAATTTATTTTTAATTTGAACATCAAAACACACAGGCTTAGAATCAGAGTTTTTTAAAGAAACGTCAGGAATGGAAAGAATCCACTACAATTAAACCAATTGTATCTCCCACATTAGGATGTTTTTCTAGTAATCAAGATTTGTATTATATTTTAAAAGTAACTAAAATCACTTTAGTGAAAAATGCATACTATATTGGCTAACTTCAAGAAAGAAGATTTGAATGCTGACTTTTTTTTGCTGTAGTAATTAGTATTTTTTGCTGTTCCTTACTATCTTCACATATTCTTCTTTATAAAACTTCAGTTTAACATTAACCATATCACTTGGATCTATGAAATAGTTATGAAATACTGATTTGATTAATAATGAGAATTAATCTGATTATTTTCATTCCAAATTATATGTATTACACCATGTGATGATTAAACTATAGTTTTATATTTTCATTCCTCTTTTTATTGTTTTATTAGATCATGGGATTTTAAATGTTACCATGGTTATGTGATAGAGCTGTTGCAAAGATATGTCTGTATGAGCAATTGAATGTGATACATTTCAGCAGGCAATGATATCTCCTTTCTAATTTAGTTCTTTATAGGAAGATTTGTTTTATTAAACTTCTATCTGGTTTTTTCCCCCTGAGTATTAGCTTAGTTCTAGTTCAGCTCCTTTGTTCTCTCTTTATTCTTCTAATAAGTAATTTGAAAAGCGAGTATTAAATATACTTTTTTTCTCCAGTGGATTGTGTATAAATGATTATTTCAGCAACAAAATGGAAGTAACATGCTCTGGATTATTTTGATACTGGTACTTGTTTGGGTCACTGTATTGTTTGAATAAATAAGTGATGAAAGAGACTTTCTTATAGTTAAAAAAAGGTGGATGTTTAAAATAAATTCTTGTTTATTTAAATGCTTGTTTATTTAAGAGAGAATAGTGCACTATTCAAATGCATAGTTAAAGCAGAACATTCCAAAACTCCATTTGTCAGCCGTTCAAAGTAGACCAGACTAGGACACCAGAGTTATGAATACTAATAATACTTTTATTATAAGGTTATAGTAATAGAACCTTGCAAGTCTGAATATATTTGCTTCCCCCTACCCTCCATTTATCTTCATAAGAACTAGAGAGGCTATGCCTGAGATGCTTTCTCAAATTATTTTTCTGCCCCAGACTAAGATTTCGTTTTTATGACCATTGCCTTGTTTGCAGGTTCTGCTCCTGTTCCTCAAGGTTATTCGTACTGTCCATTACACCATTCCATCCTCAGTGAGATTTAAGAAAATCTGTATTGTTAGTAACTAATTGGTTACTTTAAGGGCAATTTCATATTACCTGGATCATTTTAATTGTACTGGTGGCTTTAAGTGAGGTCTTAGTTTCAGTAGTCATTGCTACATTTGACATTACTGTGTGAAGAAATTTGTAACTTTTGCTAGCTTTGTTTAATTCCTTATGATATATCATTTGGTAGCTTTGGCAGGATAATTTTTTTGTTAAGTGCTCAGGCTTAAATAATCTTTGAACCTGGAAGATGAGAGAAATCACAGAAAGACTAGGGTGGAGTTCTACTTATTTTAACATGGTTCTATCAAACATTATAATATCTTTAACATCTTTTATTATATTTGGATTACAAACTGTTAGTATTTAGGTTGTAGTAGGGCTGCCCATATCAGGCAAGCACTTCAGAATTCAAGTACTTCCTTAACTATTGTTGGAAGAGTTAAATTCAGGTATGTTTGGGGTGCCAAATTCCTTTTCTCCAGTATTCATACCACAGATTAAAGTCACTGTTTCTGGCTAAAGTATTTTTTTGAACAAAGGTAGATTGGAAGGCATTTATGCAACTCTGTGATCAAGGTAGAGATCCATTTCATCTTCAAGTCACAAAGCCAGATAATGTCTGAATGTCTACATATATGTCTAACCAGTGATGTTCAGTACCTTCTTACATTATTTATTGCTTCTCTTCTACCAAGTCAATAATTAGTTGGAGTATATACTGTTCTTCTGCTGAAGTGCCATAACAATGAATGTTGAGATCTTGGGTGTTTCAGTTGATAGATTTATTTGGATTAGAGGAAGAGCTCTGTACAGGCAAATATGTATAGCTTAATTCCAGTAAAAACACACGTTCCACCATGTGCACCTGGCCTAATCTTTTTTGCTCACTTGATTCTTTATAATACTCGACTGGATATCTGTACTTGACCTGCATCACTGTAACCTCTTCAAGACATTCTCTCCCTATTTTTTATGAATTACAGCCTCATCCCTATATCGTCTTGACCTTCCTTTATTCTTTCTGTTACAGTGGTCTTCAGGGCTAATTTGCCTGTGGAGTAAAGTTGTGAATGGCAGTTTTAAGATATTCAGATTACTCCAGAATTCCAAATATCTAGAAACAGACACAGCATTAGGAAATGTAGCTTTTCTGTTAAAGTAAATGATTCAAAGAGACTTGGATCAGTTACAGTTCCTCCTGCCTTTCCCCTTCCCCCAAACTAGTATACTTAATCTGAATACCAGAATCTCTTGGGCATTACACAACTAAAAACTGTCAGCCTGAAAGCCAGTGCTATCTTGTTTATCAATCTGAAAGCCACTCTGAGAACCTTTCCATTCATTTATTTACTGGGCTGATATCCCACCTTACATTCAAGAGCTCAAGACAGCATAACAATACTATTTTTCCCAAACTGGAAGGTAGGCTGGGCTGAGAGAGAATCACTAGCCTAAAGTCACCCAGGGAGCTTCTGTGACTTGAGAGGGGACTACAACCTGGGCCATTTCATTCTTGGTTTAATCTTTATATCACATTAAAAAATGCTTGGAAATAAAACTTCTGTTTTAATAGTTACAACTGGAATTGATTGCAGATAAGGTTTAGATAATTTTGTGCAGTTTAAATCAGGATATTTCTAATTGAATTTTTTATTAAGTAAAGCTAATAAGCAGAATATGCAAATTGTTATATGTCAAAAATTAGTGAATAATAAATAATACAGGGTTTTCTTTAAGCTAGTAAAAGGGTTTTAATTTTAGTTCCTAGAGTTCAGTCCATCAAACTGATTTTTGTATCATTTGCATTTGCTTAAGTATGCTTTCTTTTTCTCTAGCTCTATCGACAAGCCGTCAGATTCTCTCAGTATAGGAAATTGTGACAACTCACAACAGGTAAGTTCCTAACTCTAGTGCTTTTGAATACTGTTAACTGCATATTCTTGTAAATATAATTAATGTGTGGCAAAGCGAGACCTGCCTGCCTATAAAAGTGTATAAGAATGATTTGATTGAAACTTGTTAAAATAAACACAGTAGGTTTTTTCCCAGCTGCCCAATTTTTGGAAACGTTTTAAAAATTATATGCTCATAAAATTATCCTCTCTCAGATTTTTTTATTTCTACTGTTGTAGCATAGTTTACAAAACTGAATCTTACTTTGCCTGACCTTTTCCTCTCAGATATCAAATAGCGACACACCATCACCACCTCCTGGTTTATCAAAATCCAATTCAGTCATCCCAATCAGTTCATCCAACCACAGTGCACGTTCTCCATTTGAAGGAGCTATAACAGAGTCACAGTCCCTCTTCTCAGACAACTTTCGGCATCCCAACCCAATTCCAAGTGGACTCCCCCCATTTCCCAGCTCCCCACAGACGTCCAGTGACTGGCCCATGGCACCAGAGCCACAGAGTCTCTTCACATCAGGTAATATATAATATAAGGGCAATTATTAATACATGTTTGCACATTGTAACCTGAAATAGTGTTTTTGGCTTATTTCCACTTTTTAAGTAAATCACAATTACTTATTAAAAGGCATGATGATTCTTTTATAAAGATTTTCTGTGTAGGTGATGATAAACTTTGTTACAGAAATGAAATTCTGTCTTAAATTAACAGATACTTTCTTAAAATAAAACTTCACATTTTGTGCTTGAATTGCACAGTATAACTAATTTTAATATTGGGATTAGATAGAATATGTTCCTTATAATTGTAAACAGTGATTTATTTAATTTATACATGATAGGCTTTGTTACTTTGTTACTTGGCATTAGTACATTTATATATAAATCTCTGATAAATATAAATCTTCTATATGGAAGACATTCACAAATTGATGATATACATACATACATACATACATACATACAAAAATTATTAGTCTCCAATAAAAAAAATATAGGCTGGAAGGGAATTTGAATGTTGATTTCTAAGAAATGTTTTTTTCTTGGCGGCTTCACTTTTCCTCTAACAAGTATATTGCTACTATGTTATGAAGGATTTTCTGAGGCTAGATCATTTTTCAAGGTCATAGATGAGTTACACTGTGGAGGAAGGAGTTTAAAAGTAACAAATAGAAATCACTTAAAACTACAGCTACCAGTGAATATTGAAGGATAAATGCTTTATGTTTAACTAATAGTACCAGTACTTTTATTTCAGAATTGACCATCCTTTACTGCTTAACTAAAAGCACTTGGAACAAGTTTTCTGCTGCGCTGCACTGTTGTTTTAGGATTGTTAAGTCTACTTCTAAAAGCTTTTTATTCACATGTCTCAGGGTACAACTTCAGCTGGTATAGCTGACTTCAGATTATTCTCTTGTTAAATAGTCACCTTGTAATACAGTATTTGTTTACAAGTTGAAATAAAAAAATAAACAGTTTTCCTTTAACAGATCTGAAGTATTTATGTTTTGCCACAAAAGCAGTAAAGAGTCTCATCTCACCATAAAGACTGGCCAATTTATTATCACCTAAGCTTTTGTAGATCATAGTCAACTTGCATTTGATGAACTGGACTGCATCTTGTACAGCAGCAAATTGATTATTCTTTAAAGACTTTTTGTTCTAATCTCATTAAGTGTAATTTATTTTCATAGTTAATCAGAACCAAAAAAAGCTATGCTGATTTATTTACTATGTAATTTACCTTTATAATCCTTTTTACACAATATAAAGTAGTAGTTTGTTTATCCTGTATGTACATGACAGGAAATACAGGTAATCCTCGCTTATTGATGGTAATTGGGACCGGGAACTCTGTCGCTAAGCAACTTGATTGTAAAGCACAGTTCTGTCAGTCCCAGTTGTCGTCATTAGGCAAATCCCATGCTTTTGCAGTGTCCCACGGTCATGTGATTGTCTTTTGCAACCTCCTGCCAACTTCCCATTAGCTTTGCTTGTCAGAAGCTGGCAGTGAAGGTCGCAAATGGCAATCATGTGACTGTGGCATGCTGTGATATCGTAATTATGAGCTGCTTGCTAAGTCTCCAAACTATGTTGGTCATAAGTCCCCCTTAGTCAGCGCCAGTGTAACTTTGAATGGTCGCTGAATGAGTGGTAGTTAAACAAGGGCTATCTGTACAGCCATCTTCCTGCTCTCTGTTTAGACTTGCATTTGTTTCTAAATACGTTAACAATCCTATTATTGTAAACTAAGTCCTGCTAGATTCAGTGGAGATTGTTTCTTAATAAGTATGTTTTTGTACTAAATATTTTACAGTTATGCACATGACAAAATGCTAAAGTTGTCTTCATTTTGGGGAATTGGGGAAAGAAATACTGGTATGAATCCAAATTTAAAGATTTTCATGCACAACAGGGATGAGAATAAGAAAATAAATAAAAAGACTTGTAAATAGTTTGATACAGGTAGATTGAGAAGAAATTTATTTGTTTGTTTTTCTACAGAAACCATCCCAGTATCCTCCTCTACAGACTGGCAGGCAGCATTTGGATTTGGTTCATCCAAACAGCAAGAAGATGACTTGGGATTTGATCCCTTTGATATCACCCGCAAAGCCTTAGCAGACCTGATTGAGAAGGAACTGTCAGTCCAAGATCAACCCTCCCTCTCACCAACATCTCTTCAGAATCCTTCCCCACACACTACAACCGCCAAAGGGTCAGGATCTGGATTTCTGCATCCTGCTACACCCACAAATGCCAATTCTCTCAATAGCACATTTTCAGTCTTGCCACAGAGGTTCCCACAGTTTCAACAGCATCGAGCAGTTTATAATTCCTTCAGTTTTCCTGGCCAAGCAACTCGCTATCCTTGGATGGCCTTCCCTCGCAATAACATCATGCACTTGAACCACACAGCAAATCCCTCTTCGAATAGCAATTTCTTGGACTTGAACCTCCCACCTCAACACAGCACAGGTCTAGGAGGGATCCCCATAGCAGGTAAGTGCACTGAGCCAGGCAATACATTTGAGTCATATCTTCAGCTTTTCTAAGTCAGGGTAGTAAAAAAGAATAGGAGAGGTAAATTTATTTATTTACTTATAATATTTGTTAGACCAACCCAATTAGATTCTGGATGGTGCACAACTTGGAGAAAATTGTCATCAAGCGTATTAAAAAGATATTGAAGTCCACAAAATACCTTCAGAGGGTCAGCTGCAATCGCACTCCAAGTCAAACTCTCATTAAAATAAAATGATTTTCAGGATCTTCCAGAATACAAGGAGGCTTAGAGCTAAGTATACTTCTGGGGGAAGTATGTTCTGTGGTGTGGTAAATACTACTGAGAAGGCCTGCCTTCCAGCACACACTTTGATGTTTGTTACTGAATAGTGGTATAATTGTCATACTGGGAACATGTCTTTTTCACACTTTGGAAGAGAAATATTAAATTTGAATTTAGCCTTGTAATTATGAGCTTTATAAGGAAAGTGGAGTATCCCATGTCTAATAATTAATACTTCGGAAGTTTTATAATTTGCCTTGACTTCTTAGTAATGCTGTAGAATTGTTTTTTATTTTTATTTATAATTTACTAACTTATTCCAGGAAATTGGGTATATTTCAACACATAAAACAAACATTTGACCTGGCCAACTCATTACATCTAGAGAACATAAAGGCAAATCAGTAGCCATATCATCAATCTTTTTCACCATCTGAACAATAAGATCTAATATTGTTGAGATGGTAGCAGCAACTGAATAAGATGGTACAGAATGCTTTATGATTTAATATAATGATGGTATATGGTGTCTGTACTGTTTGGTTTGACTTTCAACCAGAAAACTAACCATCCAGTTTTTTATTTGTGTATCTTTTACATTCCAAATTGCAATGAGAATGTTGGAAGTAGACCACATTCTAACATACACGAAGAAGTATGATGTGGCAAATCTTGGTTTTGTTGAGTTTAGAACAAAATTTGGGTATCTTTAAATCATAACTTATAATGCTGTGTTGGTTTTTGGGAGTACCGATCATATCCTGAAGTAGGAGTAATATGACTTGGAGATAGCATCCTTTTATTTTTCTAAACTATTGCTTTATTGCTTTATCTTGAAAGTCTTGGTTTTCTTTTTCTATAAATATTTTAAAATAACTTGCAAGGCTAACTCTTCTTGATAGCATTTGATTAGTAATCAAAGCATTCCATTTTTAATTATCTGTGTCTTCACTTAATTTGTCTGCAAGTTCTTTGGTACTTTAGTTTCAGCTTTGAGTGTGCCTCATTTTTTAAAATCAGTATCTTATTTTATTCCAGTATTCAGAGTCTGTATAGACATTAAAAAGAAAAGATTCATGTTCATACAGAGTGATTGCTGATTTTTATGAGAACCCCGTCCTAAAGGATTATGATTAGAAGGAAGGGCTGTATCAGAACTAAACACCAGCCTGAGTGGAAAGGGCTGTGTAGAACCTGTCTCAGTGCCACCCAGGGGCATATTCAGTCCTGAACTGGGGTGTGATATCTCACCTCCAGTAATATTGCGGACAAAGAATTAAACTTTGCTAGGGGGAAGATTTTCTGATGGGACAATATTCTATATCATATATTTTTATACTCATTGATTCTTCTTTGGATTTACAGAATTTATTGGACCATTCTTCATTTTAAAAGATTTTAAAATCTTTTTAGATTTAAGAGGCTTGGATTATTCTAAATCCATTTAGCAACATAAATTTACATGTATTCTGCATTTTAAAATGGCTTTTTAATATATCTATTGTACAACCATACTTAATGTCATTTGCCACCTTCCCAGATATACAAGTATATGTGCAATTTTCCCAAATATACACTTTTAATCTGACCTTCCCCAAAATAAATTGCATATAATTGTTTTCTGCAGTGCTATGTGTTTTGTACAGTTGGAATGTATTACCTAAGATAATCTGGGAAATGACTGTTGGCCTTAAAGTTGTCAGAGTTATATCTGCTTCTGAACCAGGGTGTGTTCCAGCATTTCAATAATTTGATGATGCTATTTGTTAGAATAGAAAACCTGTCTTCTACAGGGGAATAATCCAGACATCTTTTACATGTGCATCCATTCCTTAATTTGTGTTTTATTTTTTTTTAAAAACCCAATAAAATAGAGATTAAATAGATAAAAATCATTTACATTTTAAAAAGTATTTCAATCTCTTTGTCCCCCCCCCCGCGCCATGCAAAATGTTAGAGATGGAAGTTTTTAAAAAGTAGGCAAGCAAAAAATTAAATTATTTTTTCACTATTGTTCATTAAAAATTCAATTTGCCCTGGTATCTTCTAACAACCAAGATTCTTTTTTCCTTTTAGAATGAAAACTTTATGTTACAGGTTTAAAGGTTTATGTCAGGATTATACAATCTTAGATTCCAGTTAAAGTGACAATTTAGCCATACTGGATTTGACTTTTTGAAAAAGGAGAGTTGAGGAAGAAGTGCCATTGTGGTCTCTGGTACAATCTACTGTGCTTTAATGCCTTCAATGTGTGTTTGACCACATTTATTCCAGGTTAGAAATGGCTTTTGTTCGTCAAGGAATTCATTCTGCTTTGATTTATGCCAGCTTCCACTAGAAAGAGTGAAAATACCAGCTTCCATGAGCTAGACAATAGAATATTTAATTACTATTATTTTTAAGGACAGTTGAATCAATACTGCTAATTCAGGTTCACTATGGAAAAAACTAATGTTACATTGCATAATACATGTAGCCTGACTCTATGACAAGTTCATCTGCTATGTTCATTTGCTAATGTATGGTTCATAAAGTTCATATTAAGTAGCATGAGACCTACAGTTCAATTTTGTAACTCCCCGTTTAGTATCTGGGAAATTTATTTATTTATTTATTTATTTATTTATTTATTTTTTTATTTTTTTATATTTCAAATTTGTCACCGCCTGTGTCAGTGTGGAGTGACTCTGGGTGGTTTACAGTAAAAATAGAATAAACATTAATTAAAATAGATAAATATTAATTAATTAATTAATTAAACTATGCTAAAAGCAAACTTCCTTTATAATACTTCCAAGAGGCTGATGTTAATTAGGTATTAATAAACTCAGCATTGTCAAGGCACCAGCCATCCCCAGGGTCAATTGTATCTTTCCTCACTCCACGCAAGTTGGCAGAGCCAAGTCTTCAATTACCTCTGAAAAATTGGGAGGGTAGGGGCCTGTCTCACCTCCATAGGGTGGGGGCAAGTAGCTTCTTTTCTAAGGGAATGACAGGTTCACAATACTGAAGGTTTTTAAAAATTCGTATAGGATATATGAGCACCCAGTATGCTTTATAGCTCTTTTACATAGTATTCATATTTTATCTAAAGAGGTTTTCAGAGCAATCTTTGAAGAGTAATAAAAAACACACATGTAACTCTCATCTATTACCATGAGTTACGCTTCACCACTTTGAGTGAGTGAGTTAAACTTGGTTTTCTACTGATTTAAATTTCAGTAATGTGTACTTCAAGTATATGGTTTTGTTGGTCCATATAGTTCAAGATTCTTCACTAACATTTAGAAATGTATCTAGATAAATAATTCTTTTTCACTTTGAGCAGTTGCTGTCTTAATTAATCTCCTATGGATTTCCTTCCTTCCTTCCTTCCTTCCTTCCTTCCTTCCTTCCTTCCTTCC